TTCTTGTTAATTGTTTATTGGTTTAATGTAAGTGGCTATTGTTCGGGACGAACAATACTAAGGAAGTGGCAGTGTTACGACAGCGGGGGTCACGTGACGCTAGAAACGCGTCATATTCTTGAACGTTCACGTCCCTTCCTGAAGTCTCGAGAGGCTACTAGATATTCGGTAGTCTTGTATATATAAGCCGCCAAGAAGTGACGGCAATAATGTGTGTAATTGACAGTTGAGTCGAGCAGGTGAGACGTTCGTTGTGAATTATAGCGTTTGTTATAGCGCGACTGTGGAAATTAAGTGTATTGCAAAGTTGTATTCAGAAAGAATAAACCAGTTTTATTTAAGAAAGGACTTGTGCTGCTAAAGTTTCTTCGGAAAGAATTTTTACGAAAAATTAACTAACGACCAGAGACGTAACAATATCAAAAATATAGCTTACAACAATATGTAATAATAAATACAAGTTTACATAAAAACAAGCATTTCTAATACTCACTGCATATTCAAGCTGTTTGTATTTCAGTAAAAATATTTTACAGAATTTTAAAATGACAGTTGTAAGTTTCACAAAAACCCCATTTATTCACGACCATGGTTTCGCAGTAAAGACATCATCACGCATTAGTTGGAAACTGCAACAGCTTATTTCAGGAGTTAGAAAATTTAAGCTTAAAAGTATCACATAACACAGAAAAATTGAAGTTTGATATCTATTAAATGTACAGAACTTGAATTATAAACTATATTTTATGCCAAGTTTATGGACATACATTGATAATGAAATTTTAATGTAACACTAAAAGCTCATGGGATGCATTCTTGTTTTCATTTTTTCTTAGTGGTAAAAAACACGTCAATGGGTATACATTTTACTATGATTTTTGATGTATTTCATATTTATTGGCTTCATGTTTTAAAAGAGTTGATGTTCTTTTCTTGGGTCATTATTGTATTTTTTTGAGAAAGTGTTGTTTTATATTTTCATACTTTTGTGAGTTTTATTAGATTAATTTTTATTTGCACTTTATGCACTGGGATATTTAGCCATGTTGTATTGTAATTTGGGTTTCAAGGGCCTGTATTGATATTAGGTTTTCTTTATGAGTGTTCATTTGGTATTTATAATATTGCTGTGATAAGTACTAGTATGTTGTATTCTTTCCTTAATAATTGTTAAAATATTTTTTGCTTGTGTGTGTATCAAATTTAATCATGCCTTTGATTAAAGGATTTTCCTATGTATAATTGTATTATTGTTGAAGGATTTTGTTTTTATGTTTGGTGCAGTATACCTATACAGATCCTGCAAGTCAGAGACAAATCCATGATGACATGTCACATAATCTGTCTAACAAGCAACCATTTATTCAGGGCCAGAGAAGTTTATCTATGAACCCAAGTTCTTGGTATACTATACACCTGGAAAAAAGTTAAGCACCCCCAAATATTTTTCAGGATTGCTTATTGAAAATAAGGTTTAATTTTCATGATGTTGAGCAATGTTCATAATTTCAAACATAATTAAAAGGATGTGAGCGTTCAGGTGTGACATTTAAATCAGGCGCGTTTTT